GGCTCCCCCGTACAAGAGAGACATGGCACTCCTGGAGAGAGTCCAGCAGAGGGCTACAAAGATGATGAGGGGACTGGAGCATCTCTCCTCTGAAGAAAGGCTGAGAGAGCTGGGCCTGTTGAGCCTGGAGAAGGGAAGCCTGAGAGGCGATCTCATCAACGTGTACAAGTATCTGAAGGGAGGGTGTCGAGAGGATGAGGCCAGACTCTTCTCTGTGGTGCCCAGTGACAGGACAAGAGGCAACGGGCATAAACTGAAACACAGGAAGTTCCATCTGAACACAAGGACAAACTTCTTGGCTGTGAGAGTGACTGAGCACTGGAACAGGTTGCCCAGAGAGGTAGTGGAGTCTCCTTCCCTGGAGATATTCAAAACCCGTCTGGATGCAATCCTGGGCAACGTGCTCTAGAGGACCCTGCTTGAGCAGTGGGGTTGGACTAGATGATCTGCAGAGGTCCCTTCCGACCTCAACTATTCTGTGATTCTGTGACTTCACTGGTGGTGGAGCAGCACAGTTTTGTGTACATGCGTGGAGCTACCTGCGCTCCTGTGGGACCGACTGTTCCTAGAACGTTTTCAAGCTTAGTTTAATTTTTTGAAGACTGCCTGTGGCTAATAGGCATAGCTTGCTGAAGTAAATACAGAAAGGGAAATTGTGGCCACATGAATTCAGTGGCTTCTAGGATGATGAGAGCCTTTGTGTCTACAGGAGGGAGCACATCAAATCCTTTGCCTGTCTCTCTCTGTATATGTATGTATCTCTCTATATAAAGCAGAGCAATATGAAGCCTGTGGACTTGGTACCCGTCTCCCTTGGGGCCAGATTGTAATGCCCTTATGCAGAGGGAAGTGGTAGTCTCTTCTGCCAGTGAAATCTCAGCTTACCACTTGGCTTTATGGCTTGCTTTACATGCACTGTTTGCTCTGATAGGATGCAAGATTTTACTGAAGACTTTTTCTTGACAGACTCAAGTGTTGGATTTTGAAAGATCTTTATTTAAAACATAAAGTGCTTCGATTTTTTTAGAAATCAATACATTAACAGTTTAGACTTCTTGTTTTGCTTAGCCTTCACCCTCCAGCTCTGCCACCATTTACATATCAAGTTAACTGCAGTTTTTTACACTGTAGCTGTTAATGACCAGAGACAGGAACTTGGGTTTGGTTTTAGTGAATTTTAGTGTTGATGATATGTGCTGAATTAAGTCCTCTCAGCTGAGCGGCTCTAGCAAGGATGTGGTTCCTTTAGGATGTGTGAGAGGAAGAATGACTCTCAAGGACAAGCAGGAATTTCAGTCTCCAGTCAATCCTTGGTCTCCTGCTGAGGCTTCCAGTGGCAGCACTGGTTGTGGTGGGTTTGTGTTGTGGACACATCAACTGGAAGCGTCATTAGAGACCACAGAACAGCTTCCACACCACTGCTGGCACATGGGCCCGTAATGACTGTCACTACCCACATAGGCTGATTTGAATAAGAGACCTAGTGTTGTAAGAGGCTCCATAACCCATTGTAAATCCACTGAGCCCTCTTACTCCTGCCTTATTGTAAACTGGCTTAAAAGGGTCCCGGTTTGTGTTTCATTTTCTGCTCCTTAGGCGTGGTTAGTTACTTGACTGGTGGCAGCATTGCTGCCAAGTCCTTTCCAGGCACGGAAGCTGAAGAAGGTGCTTGCCCCATAGGCAATCATCACAAGGCAGGCAAAGAACTGAAAGAGAGGAGCACAGCAACATGTGAGCACAACGGCCGCTTGACTGCCCTAGCCCTTGCATACGCTGCCAGTACTTACAGATGCTGCAGCTCTTCTGTTGTAATCCCACTGGCGCCATGATGTAGGCTGGACAGCCGCAGAGCATGTTACAAAGGCGGTGATATATAGAACGGTTGCCGTAGCATTGAAGATCACTAGCTGGGGAAGGCAAAGAAAAGGTTACAAGGTCCAGACTCCATGGTACACTGAGCAGTGCATGCCTGATGCTGACTAGAGGCATTCAGGTAGGGTACATCTAAAAGCTAAAAAGCAAAAGATTGAGTATGAGCATCTTGCAAAAAGTTAGGCTAGGATTGTCCATGGGTAATGAGTGTGAGTGCTGCTTATGAGGGCAGCTGGGAGCACAGACACGAATGAGCAAAAGGTGGACAAACATGGCCTCTCACCCTCTCTTCACTGTGAGTTTCTGGCCTGTGTCAAGGAAACCCGCTCTTATGCCCTTGGGGCATCTAATGGCAGCTTGCCTTGCAAGGACCAGCTTTGTGCTACAGCCTTTTGGGACCACCCCAGATGATCCCATCCTTGCTGCAAAACAACCCAAGTGCAAGATGTGGTTGGATCCAGAGTTAGCTGCGATTCTATCATGCCTGTGCCCTTCCCCTGAGTTATTTAACTGCTGATTTTTAAGAGGCTATTTTTTTCTGACTGCCCAGGGACAGCAGGGCTGCAGCTATGACATGAGTAAGCTTCATCTATTGTGGGCTTGTCTCCATCACACCTCTGTTACTGGGAAATCCCAAAGGTTCATTCTTGCTTGCAAGTGGCTATTTGAAACAACCTGACTCAGGGCACTGAAGAAAGCAAAAGCATTTGTGAAGCTGAACTGAGGCCGGACAGCGAGAGTGGGGAGGGTACGGGTGACTGGTACCTAGGTAGCCAGATGGCAGAGACGCGGTGCTTCTCCAGCCTGTGTTTGCGCTGGGTTGTGCTCCCGTATGTTTGTGTGGGGAGCTAGAAATGGCATCTGGCTTTGCAGTGGTTTAGTTAAGCCAATTTCACATTCCTCCTTCTCCTGAAGATAGAGGAGCTCTGAATGAAGTGCTTCCCCTGCTGTGTGAAAGCAGAGGGAAGGGATCCAGCCCCTCAAGCTTGGGAGAAAACTCGGTTTAACATCACATTAAATGTGCTCTCGATTGCACTGAGAGATTTCTGGTTGACAACAAGCAATTGAGGGGCAGAATGAAACAATTCAATGGGCAGGGTGCAGAGGACTTTCTTCTCTCAGCCCTGAAAAGCCCTAAGCCTTGGTTCTCTCAAAGCATTTCCCACAGGCCTGTTTCCTAGTTGAGGTTCCCCAAATTTATTCCCGCTTAGGTTACTTACCACAAGGGGCCAGGGGATCACATAGAATTTCAAGTGAAGTTGCAGGAGATATATCACGAAGAAAATCACTGTTGTTATCCAGAAAAAGATGGCTACAAACATCACCCAGCTGTATGCCGGATGGAGGTGGTATGTTGTGTCAGCAATAAGAGCCCACACCAGTAAGCCAAGCACCTGAAGGGGAAAAGGGGAAAGGGTTCAGACTGTGATTCCTCCAAATGTAAAAATCTGGCTGACCCATCCCAATTGCTGAATTGAAAATGTTTCATCCTGCAGTGCAAAGCAGGGCAAACACACTGCTGGCTTAAACGGCTTCCAGAGGAAAGGGGGTGACTTCCTGAGAGTTGAGTTGTGTGTCTGTGCTGTCCTCCAAATTCATCTGCCACAGGATGACTTTCCTCCTGGCTCTGCTTCTTGCCTTCTGGTTCTCTGCTCCCAGATTGCTGTCCTGGGGATTAGCCCTGTGGCACTGCCGTCCTGGGCTATAATCTCTGAGCATATGCCAAATTTGTCAGATCGCCTGAATTCAGCACAGTTTTGCCCATGAACTGCAGCTCACCAGCGTATATGGCAATTGGGTTCCCCTGGCCCTGGACAGAGATACAGGCAAAGCCCTGTGTCCTTGCAAACACCTCAACACAGATGCGCAAGGGATGTGGAACAGGGCTGGACTATGGGAACAACTCAGGCCAGGGAGCCCATCTGGGACCCTCATTACTCAGGGCTGGGCTTGTTCCCTGCACTGCTTGCCCTGGGAGCTGGCACAACGAGACAGGACCTGTGAAACCCGGGCATCCCGAGCACTGAGCTGCCCGCCAGGCTGGGAAATTGGTTTTACTCTCATGTGGTGGTTGGTGTTTTTTGTTCCTGGCCAATCCCTTCCTTAGCATCCAACATGCCCCTGCTCCATCCCAATTTTTGTGGTAGCCCTAAGCAAGAGTAGGTGGTACCCTGGCTCCTGAACTGTGCCTCCAGCTGTTGGTCCTTCTCCCTCCCTGCCTTATTACACTGGGCACATGGAGCAGCTGCTCTGAGAACACAAACGCCAGCACACACCCATGTGGGCCTTGTGTCTTCCCATCATACAAATGCAAGGCTTTGCCTAATGCTGGCTGGGGCTGTGTCCTTCTGGATGCTTCACAACCCTTGCTAGACCAGCTGGGGCAACAGAAATGAAGGCTGCAGTGAGCCACCAGAGCTGCTGATGCTGAAGAAGCGCCTGCGGGCTGCGCAAGGTAAGGTGCTCAGAGGAGATGGTGCCCGACCCAGGGCAGGTGGGGAAGCACATGCGAACACAAACTGGGAGGGTCTCCTGTTCACCTGCTGAAGGTGACAGAGGACAAGGACCTTCCAAATGGCAGGTGTCCCCTCCTGGCTCATGTTAGCTCTTGTGACCAAGTCAGCCATGGGCTCAGCCCAGCTCTCCACGTGCATCCTGGAGCAGATAGGGCCCCACCACCGCAGGTCCTGTCTCAGCCAGCACCCATGGCGAGGGACTAGGCTCTGCGGGAGCGGGTGGCAGGCGCTTGGCTCAGCATCAGGGATGTCAGGCGGGTTGGGTGTATGGTGGCTCCTGGGGCCTCAGTTCAGCCTTGACTTCCCCCAGGTGCAGCATCTCTAAAACAAAAGAACCATTTTCTCCACTGTTGGGTTAGGTCTAGTCTGGTCTGGTTTGGTTTATACATCCTGCATAAGGGCTTTAAGGGCTCGCCTTTCTCAGTTAAGCAGGTTGAATTACATAGCAATTGTGGTGTCATGTGCCTGCAAGCTACCTACAGAGTAATCTGAAAAAAAATATCACGTAGACAAGTCCTTTATTTCCAACGTGCAACAAAAAATAAGCAGAGAAACAATTCTTGGCCCTTATTCAAATGTAATGAAAAACGCAAGATTTCTGTTTGCATTTTTAAGAGGATCACATCAACTCAGCATACAGGGGCATTTAGGACTGGAGAGCTAGATGTTATTCTCTCACAAGAACCAGTTTCAGCTGAAAGATGTAGCTGCTCACTTATGGTGGAACTACCATTTTTCCGTCCTCCCACTCTGGACTGCCCTTGGGCGCTGCACCTCGCTGCGCTGCACCTCCAGCTCCCCTCCTGCTTTCGCCCACAGGGATAGGCAACACCTTAAGGCAGCCCTGTCTTCCTGTTCCTCATACTCTTCCCACACCAGGACAACTTTGATAGATGTGCAAAGTGATTCAGCCGCTGGATTTCTCAGTTTATTAATCCAGCCGTGCTAACTATGACTGCTGAACAAATGGCTTAACCATTACTGCCTGTTGCTGAGCCATGGTAACAAACTCAGCCTACTGCTACCCCAAACCCAAACGTTCCTGATATTAAAAATGTTTACTGTGCTAGACTGAAGTGCTAGGAAGAGCCCAGCCCTAGTGCAGTTTCTCCTTCATTTCATTTTTTCTCTCTTTTAGGAAGGATGAAAAATAACTGATTAACTTGTCAGTGTACTGTGTACTGTGTTCACCTTTGATCTGTACTGTGTTCACCCTTGATCTTTGGACTCTGGAAGAGATGGTGGCTTGCTTTGCCAGCAGTGATGCTGGCCAAAGAGCAGAGAGCCACTTGCCACTGTCCCCTCCCCAGCAAACTCCCGGGAGCAGCCATGGTAGCAAGTTTGCTGCTATTTATTAATTTAGATGGCCACTAGGCTGACAGAGCAGGCAGAGGATAAGCCGCCACTGCATTGGGATGGCTTGGAAAAACATTCCACTCTCAAAGACCTTCACAAAGCAAACAGCATTAGCGGTGCAATTGCAAGGAGCCTGGTGTGCATGAGTTGCCCTGCTCGTGCAGTGCTGGATGCTCGCAGCCACTCTTTAAAATCCAGCCCAGTGGGCTGGGGCTGCTTTTGCACCACGTGAGCTACCTGCCCAGGTGGATCCTTGCAAAGGCAAAATCAGCAGCCCTCCGCTAAAAATGGTGGTTCCAGGGGGACTCCCACCTGCGAGGGTTTTGCCAACCACAGGTCAGTGTCCCGGCACAAGAGGAGGCCATATCTTGTTGGCTTTGGCATGACCTTGGTCAGGACTGGGTGTAAGTGGCAGATAAAGCAGAGGAGCCAGTTGCCTGCAGCTCTGGCTGATTTTATAACCCTTTCTCTACCTTTTTCTCTTGCCCTGTGCTGGTTCTGCAGCCCCAAAGGCCTGCCTGGGTGCTGAGGTCCAGCTCCTGCATGCCCTTCATTGCTTCGTGGCTGACCATAGCTCAGCCCCAGAGCCCCATTGAACCAGCCTCACGGAGGACAAGGAGGCACGCTCAGGGTCTTGAACTCCCATGTTTCAAAGCACAACTGAATGTGCCAGGGAGATCTCCCAACTCACCTCCTCAGCATGGAAAAACTCATTGCAGGCAAGGCACGTGCTGTCTCCACAGGGACAGAGCTGCTCTAGGGCTGCCGTCCCCTGCAAAACCCCTGGTCCCTCCGTGCAGTCCATGCTTTGCCGAAAGGCATCGTAGACAGGAGAGGCTCGTGACAGCCAAACATGGTGAAGCCTGTCCCCCAGCCACACCTCTCGCTCTGAGAGTTGGCCCCAGAGCAAAGCTGAGATCGGAATATTCCCCAAATGCATATTCTGCTTATTCTAATTTCCAGCTGTGATTCGGATCTGCCCTTTTCAGAGCAGCCTGGCACTGCAGAGCCAGGGGAGAGCGTCCCAGCCCTGCGTGGTGACCAGCTCCTGTGCTCACCTCTAGTTCTGACAGGGAACCACAGGTCATGATAAATCTATTAATCTACCACTGACAGGGAGGAGAATGGCTCTTTTGAAAGCAGCTGGCTGGGCCCTTGATCTGCCACAGCTGGTGCTATGTGAGCCTTCATTGCTTATTGCCATAGAAGAAAAACTAGGCAACACAACAGCCATTGTACTGCTGGCGTACACAGCCTTGGTGCTCAGCTACTATTGCCTCAGTCTGGACAATACCTCCTTTTTTTTTTTTTTCACATCAATTTCTAACATTTGTGATTGCAAAATATGCATTTGGGAGAGACATGTATAGGAAAAAAAACCAGTGTGTTCATGGAGCAGGAGACTGCATGTGCAAGCTGCCCTGCTCCCGGCACTGGGGGATGCACTAGCATTGCAGCTTCTGGAAGAAAAAGCAGGAGCTCTTAGGAAAGAGGTCTCAGGGAGCAGTGGGTCTGCGTGGATGGCAACTGTGCAAGCACATCTAACACTGCTGCATGCAGTGGCTGTGAAAGGAAGTTGTATGGACCAAGCAGTGATGCTGATGGGCTGGGGAGGTGAGGGAAGGGACTAGGCACTGGGGCTGAAGGGTTGTTAAAAGAGCAGCTTCTGCTGGTCTTGGCTCCCTCTCTCTTTCCTGATCTCCTGAAAGACACTCCCCTTTCAAAATCCTTCCCCCACCCCTCCCTGGAGGGCTTCAACCAGCTCAGCCATGCCCAGGGGTCTAAACCTTAAGAAGGGAGCTGTACAGGCGTTTATTAAAGGAAGGAGGCTACAGCTCTCTTAGCCTCCCCATGGGTGGATTTGCACCTATTGCAAATTGGTCCCCTAATTGCACACCCTCAACTTTCTGCCTTGGAGACTGTCCGCTACGCTGTAAAGAGTCCTGGCCCCCCCCCATGCCCAAGACTCAGCATAGCTTGCTCAGGACACACCGAGCATTTTGCTGTGGCTGCTCAGAGGGTTTATTTCCACTGCTTGGCTTCTGCCATGGGCTGCATGGGGGCTGCACACGGGCCCTGTGCATGGGAGTTGTGGGATTCCCCCCCGACACTGCAGCGCTGCAGCCCCCGACCCTGCCCAGGACGTCGCGGCGGCTGATCTGCCTGCTCTGCATTGCGCACAGCACAACACTGCCTTAGGGAGAGGCGTGAACAAAAGCGCAGGGAGTGGGCTCCCTACCCCAGTGGGAGCACACCATGGGCTTTCGCTAAGCAAATGACTGGACAGCTCATGCACGCTCCTATATACAGCTGAATGTCCAACCATACGCGCCCATGTTGTTTTACAAGAGGTCTCAAGTACAGCTGGAAGCAGAAGCTGGAGTTTATTTTGCATCTGACTCCTAATCAATTCTGAGGCTGAAGGGAGAGGCATTCGTGGGATGCTTCTGTTCATTTTGGCTGTGCTTTGCGCCGAGACCCTTAGGCCTGCTTGAAAGCAGCCCTCAAAGTCTTACTGCGAGGGAGGACGAATGCTTGGAGTGCTCAGGGGGTGTGGCAGCCCCGTGGTGGTCCCACGGACTCCCCAGGAACAGCCCCAAGCACGCCTTGGTCGGGGCAATCATGCTTCATACAAGCAGCCTCTGTCTCTCTGTCCTGCTTGCGTTCACGCTTCCCTTGAACGTCTCTCCTGGCCAAAACAGTCCGCACGCTTGCAGCCCCCACTGTGTGGCTCCCCCGGCGCAGGCTGGGATCCTGAAGCTCAGTGGCACAGAGCCAGACTAAATGGGAGAAGGCAAAAGGGCACACGCAGTTCAGTGGGAAGCTTTCACCCACCTGACACATTTCTGCCCCGATACGCAGACCCCTGCAATGTGGCTGTGGGTGCCAGAGTGGGAAAGGAGGCCGGGGACCCGCTTGCTTGCATCCTCGGGGGCGGCACACCACAGGTCAGCCTATGCATGACCCTGAGCGCTGCCAGGCGTGGAGCTGAATTGCACAGGTAGAGATTTTATGCATGCCACGATGGGAAGGGGAGGCGAGCTGCCCATCTCTAGCCCTGTTAGCGCGAAGGATGCAAAGCCTTTAGGGCAGGACAAACACAGGCAGAGAGGCAACTGGAGACGCAGCACACTGAGACCAAGTAAGGCACCGACTTTCTACGAGGAGGAAACCGATTTCTTAGGCAAAGTAAAATGCAGGCAATGTGATCGAGCTGGACTTTGGTAAGCGTTTGAGAAGCTGTCACATCGATAACGACGAGCGGGGCAAGCGAGCCGGGCGCCAGCGAGGGACGTGGGCGGTGGGGAAGACGGGGAGGCGGAAAGAGGAGGGAGCAGCGGCGGGACGCGGAGCCCCTGCGGGTCGCAGGG